TTGTGTGTGTGTGCTTGGGTACACATGTATTCTGCTTGTGTGTTCGTGTGCTTGGGTACGCATGTATCCTGCTTGTGTGTGTGCTTGGGTACACATGTATCCTGCTTGTGTGTGTTTGTGTGTGTGTGTGCTTGGGTACACATGTATCCTTGTGTGTGTGTGCTTGGGTACACATGTGTCCTGCTTGTGTGTGTGTGTGCTTGGGTACACATGTATCCTGCTTGTGTGTTCGTGTGCTTGGGTACGCATGTATCCTGCTTGTGTCTGTGTGTGTGCTTGGATACACATGTATCCTTGTGTGTGTGTGCTTGGGTACACATGTGTCCTGCTGCTTGTGTGTGTGCTTGGCTGGGAGGGGGGTGTGTGAATTGCAGAATCACTGAGTCCCTGTTGAATGTATGGTGTTTAAATAATGTCCATGGATTCAGATATTAGCTATCATTTCCATTTCCATTTCACGCACTTCAAGTATGAATTGTGATGAACAGAGTCTCAAGATATCCTGTCAGATAGAGATTTCATTCCGTCCCAGTTGCTTTGTGCCTCAATACAGGATTAAAATCTGTAACTATAATTTCAAAGACTGTACAGTCTATCTGGCTTAGATGGTGTTAGGTTAATAAAAAAATTGTCTTCAGCCCATGGTAGAGATGAATCAATTTTATATCAATTTCAAGTTAAAATCACATATAAATTGAACATGATTCTGTATTAGTTCCTCCAACCTTTGTTAATTATTGGATTGAACAATACAATCTTAAAAGTTAAACGTCAGAGACAGTGTGAAAAGAGATTGCGCTAAGTGAAGGGACATTAAACAGTACTTTTCCTTTGTGGAAAATATATTGCCTTTGGACATTCCTGAATTCATTCAGATGAAAAGCTTGGAGGGCTTAAAGTGTTATTAAAATCTTCAAGCAAAAAACAAGGTGTCTCTTCCAGTAGGAAACCTCTGAATGGATTTGAATTGTGCTGTCATCCTCAGCAGGGGTACTCAATAGTGCGTTCTCCCCTTGCTCATCGTAATGGTTTCTGAGCTGTAATACATTCTTTGTTTATAGGACAAGCAAGTGAGCCCCATTTTTTCCCTTCAAAAACCATAATTGTGAGGCGCAGCGCAGTCTGACTTACTCGCTTTGTTTCAGGACACTGAGATAATTCTGGAAATCATCTGAATTGCTGAACACTGCAGTGGGGAGCTGAACTGGCTCAGTGTGTTAATTCCCCCCTCATACCTTATAACAAGCCCTTCTTTGGGGCTGATTGTGTTTTGAATTACACTAAAACCCAAGTTTGTACCAGATCTGTAATTGTTCCCATTCTCTTCTCTGTGGGAACTGATGGCTTTTTGGCTCTTTAAGGGAACCAGTAGGCTGGTTTCTATTCCCTGTCTGCCTTTTTCATGGCTTCACCACTTTGCTTGCAAGATGAAAATGATGCGCCAATATGAACATCTAAGTCATAAAGAAGCCTCCTCATGATCATCATTGCCCATTTGAGATGTTTAGCTCATCGTGGCTTGGTGCGTGTAACATTGTCTGTCAGGTGTTCTTGTGAAATGTTTACAGGTTCTAAATTGTTTTCTGATCCCCCTATTTTGATATAAACTGATATTACTAAAAATATCAGAATGTAGGTTACTGATATCAATTAGGAAGTCGTCCTAATACAGATCCATGTACTCCATCAATACTCCATGAATTTCATCACCCTGATTCCTTCTCCCATTTTCTCTAGTGTCTGTGAACAGTCCATTAACCAATTTGCAACCCCGGTACAGGTACATACATTACCTTGAGTGCCTTCAGAAGCTTTCTGAAAACATCACATGTGGTTTGTACCCATTAATGCTGTTGCATGTTCAAAGTTATGCCAGACATACCTTTAGAAAAGCCTAAGTTGTCGACCATCCCCTAGAATCCCACTGCCTGTGATCCTCTAGTTTAGTTCTAACCTTGCTGTGAAGAGCAGTAGGACTTGCTGGTCGGTAGTTACTTGGTTCAGTCTTGTCATCTTTCTTATGGATGGGGGCTACACGATGGCACAAGGAGAGAATGGACTGATCGCTGTGTCTGTGTGTCTCTCTCTCTTCTGCCTCGGTCGCTGATGAGGTGATTGATTACTGGGGTGCCTGTCAATATGACCCTCTTCTCCCCCCACCTCCTAGGGTGGAGTACATGGAGCAGTTTGAGCAGCGGAACCTGCGGGCGTTCTCAGTGGAGCCCCTGCTGGTCTACCCCACGCACTACACCGGCGAGCCAGGATACATCAGCGACACCGAGACTTCAACGATCTGGGACGACGAGTCGGTGAACACGGACTGGGACCGGGAGCACTCTCGCAAGACCCGGCAGCAGGGTCAGATCAGCACCGCGGCCCAGAACAATGTGGCCAGCGCCAGCCCTGCCAGCGCCACCCGTGATGAGCTCTGAGGAGCACTGACACGCACGCCATAATCCCCTCCAAGTACACACTGCACACACCATCCATCCCCAACAACCACACACA